CTCTGTCTTCTTCCAGAATAAAAAAGTTCCTGTTTCCTGTTTACAGAGAAAGCAGAAGACAAACACATGTGGACTGTGCACTGTCTGTTCTATAGGGAATTTGTAACAGGCTGCAACGGCTTAACAAATGCTGGTTTTCCAATAGAACTGTTCGACAGAAGCTGGTCTAACAACTGGCTTCTGTTGAACAGAGAGCAGTACACACTGTTCAAAATTCAGCTGGTTCCTGCTGAACCAGCTGAATTTTGATTTGTGTACTGTATCTCCAGTTTAAGCCAAAATATGTTATGTTCTGACAAGATTAAAATTTACTTCAAATATGCAGAGAAATATCCACCTTTTACAAAACAAACTAGGTGAAGTCATCTCACAAAAAATTGTATTGCACAAGAACAACCCCTAAAAATACTGTAATAGCCACAGTCTCGACACTTTAAACACTGCATCAACAATGACAATATGCGTCTGTGTGTTTCCACTACTTCAGACAGCATATATTATTTTAACTCCTTATGTGCAAAATAAGCCACACTTTATACAGCATTTTGACCCAGTGTTTAAAATGTAGTGTGAAGCAATCATATATCTCCAGAAAACAGCTGAGGAGCCTGCATATTTCCCCCAACATATGCAGGGTATCTGTTCATACACATGACACAACTGTCAAACGCCAAGCTGTTACATCAGTCTATAACATGAAGTGAGCTGCACCTTCCACTTCTCTGAGATAGCCATCTCCTATTGTCTTCAGCTGGAACTGGCAAAGTCCTTTTACAGCCAGATCCGTAGGTGTCAGTCATCCTTGATGCTCAATACAGGTTGCAGCTGTTACACGGCTGTGATCAATGTGTGGGGGCACTGCGAAGGCTGCCACATCACATCAACACGTTTCACTCAAACAGTGAGCTTCATTGGGATGCTACTTCACATGTGTCAAGGACTTTCCTTTATACTTGTCCAAAAAAAACCTCACAAGGGGCTCTTGAATTTTTGCAAATGGGTAGAATTTACCATTACTTCTCATAAACACAAAACTTAGTAAAAAAAACACAATTTTATTTTATGATTAAATCCTTTGGGCTGTAGGTTGAACACATATATCCCGGAGGATTTTCTTTGTAGGAGAAAATGATCAAAATCATGATCAAGGGTGGGCTCATTCATAACTGGTTTATTCGTTTTACTTTGAACACCTTATGGAAATTACCACAAATTTAGGAAGAATGTAAAGCAAAAGGACTTTATCACTCCCCAAACTTACTGTATATCTCCATCTACTGTAAATGCTCTTTTTTAACTGCCATTTTTGTCTTTTCAGTATATTTTATGATGCAGGAGCTGATCACCTAGTACACTATCAATGAAATTACACAAGATGTCAACACTAAACAGCTGCGACTCATCCCTATTTGCAAAGTTTGTTCTAACTTCTATGTACCTGCATATGAGACACGCTCTACACCAAAACACCCTGTTTGCCTTGCATCTTCTATTGCTACTTAATGGTTGAAATTCACTTCTTACTAAGTGTCTCTCAAATTTCTTCCTCTTTTGCCATCAATGCTGGATGTGAATGTACTATTTCTTGTAGTATGGTATCCATTATTAACACATGCCAATGACTTTATAGTCTGTAAGAACAAACTGAAGCATACTATAGGTCACAGGGGCTGACTTACTAAAGGCAAATAGACTATGCACTTTGCAAGTGTAACTGTGATCTGCACAGGCATTTGCTCCATAGCTTAGTAAAGCTCTGCTGACTTCCATCATGCAATCATGTACAAGCAATAATGCTGATTTGTTTTTATTTTTCTTTCATGTGATTGGATATTCCTTGCAAAGTGAAGCTTCACCTCATGTACTAAATTCTGGAGAAAATGCCCTTTGCCTTTAGTAAATTATCTCTATTATGTTCTCTTAGATCTTTGTACTATCTTTCTAACATGCTCCTACATATTTACAACCCTATCCTGAGTGATATGGAAATGTACAAGGACTCAACATCCAATTCTACCAGGATAAAGTTTCCTTCAATTTTCACCTACTTTCCTTATTTATTTATTACCTCTTTAGAATCTTGCACATAGGAAGGCACCCTCATGACAACTGGTTTTAACTACACATCCAAATGCTTACCTTATCTCTTCACAGGTCTTCCCAACCTTGAAACAATAGGGTGGCTTGGAAGATCTACAAGGTCCATATGGACCTAGTGTAAAATATAGAAAAATAGAAAGGCATATTCCCATCCTAATCTACTATCAGCTGCTACTCTGCCTCTTTCTTCCCCCATGCTCTACAGTCAATTCCTGATTTGCCATCAGTGGTCTATTATCGGCTTCTGCTTTGCTTTGCTTCACATATCCCCCAGCCTTCTATTCATGGTACAGTTTGTCTTCCCACATAATCAATTGCAGTGAAAAGTCACAGTTGACCATATGATACATATTCAGCTAAAACATTGTCTTATTAGACAGCAATGCATACCAGCGTGTTATGAGCCATTCAGAAAAGCAAAAACTATTCTGCTTAAATGGTATTTCCTCTTTTGCAGTCCAATTTGAGAAAACCTCACTATATGTTTGTTACCCTGATCACTTCCCAGAATAGTACAGTGTCACTCTGGTGACACTGAACTACTCTGATGACAAAGGGCTCTCCTCTTTTAATGTTCTGGAAACCTAAAATATGGGATATTCTTTTGCTTTCACTTTCGATGATAATGGTAAACAGGACAAATAGAGGGGGTGAATCTCCCTAACAGGGGCACGGACAGCAATAAAAAACTGACGGAGGTCCTAATCCATCTTTACTCTCCAAAAATAAAAAAAAAAAATGTTTTGCCTTTAGTTCTACTTTACCCGCCTCCCGCCCGGCATATAAGAAAATGACAGGCAGGGGGTGGCTCTCTTGTTCTGGGAGGATGTCATATGACTTCCTCCTACTCTAGCTGCGCATGCGCAGTCCTTGGGGGCTTGCAGCGCAGCAATCAGTGGTGCGCTGTGTCCCTGGGACACAGCAGATCACTGATCGCAGTAAAGAGCTGATAGCACAGGTTTTTATAATGCAATCAGCTGTGTCCAATCACAGCTGATCACATGAAAATAGGAAATTCCGGTTATCTGCAGTCCTCTCCTCACGCTGACAGCGTGTGAAAAGAGAATGGCCGGTAAGCAGCATTCCTCAGAGGGAAAAATCTACACTGATTTTCAGAGCACTGATCATAAGTGCCCTAATGACCAGTGTAGCCCCACCAGTGCTGCCTTTCAGTGCCCATAATTGCCATCTGTCAGTGCCCATCAATGCCACATACCAGTGCCCATCAGTGCACATCAATGCAACATATCACTGCCCATAAGAGATGCCTTTCAGTGCCACCTATCAGTGCCAGTCAGTGCAGCCTATCAGTGCCAGTCAGTGCTGCCTTATCAGTGCCAGTCATTGCCGCCTATCAGTGCCAGTCAGTGCCGCCTATCAGTGCTGCCTTTCAGTGTCCATCAGTGATGCCTGCCAATGCCCATCAGTGCTGCCTATCAGTGCCCATCACTGCCCTCATTAGTTCACATAAGTGAAGGAGAAAACATACTAATTTACAAAATTTTATAACAGAAACTAAAAAAAAAAAGTTTTTTTTGTTTTTTTTTTAAATTTTCGGTCTTTTTTAGTTTGTTAAGCCACTTGCCCTCCAGAGGATTTACCCCCCTTCCTGACCAAGCCATTTTCTGCATTACGGCTCCTGCACTTCTTTGACTGACAATTGCGCAGTCATGCAACGCTGTACCTAAATTAAATTTATGTCCTTTTTTCCCACAAATGCAGCTTTCTTTTGGTGATATTTGATTGCCTATGCATTTTTTATTTCTTGTGCTATAAAAAAAAAGACCAACAATTATGAGAAAAAAACAATACTTTTGACTTTTTGCTATTAACCCCCCTGGCAATATTTCCGAGTGTAGCTCGGGGTAAAGTTTCAGCACCACAAGTAGTAACCCCAAGCTACACTCGGGAATACCTTGCAACATTGCTCCAGGATCCCTTATGCACTTACCTTGTCCTTCACTCCCGCGATGTCCCTCCTGCAGTGTCCCCGGCAATGTACTCCGGCTGATGCCAGCATCTGTCTTCTGTGTTCCGTTCCCTGCAACGTCAGGACGTACAGGGACGGAACGGCGGGAAATTTAAAAATGTCAAGAAGTGACATTCACTAAATACACTAAAATCACATAGTAAAACATTACTGTATCAAAGCATTTCACATACATTTTGTCCCGAGTGCTTTGTCCTGTGCCCTGCCTGCATTTTTACTGTTCTTTCTACCTGGAAACTGAGAAATGTCCATGGTGTCCAAAAAGTGTCCCTTTTGGTCAAAAGCGGTTTTAGACCAGCTAGAGAACAGCGATAGTAAATTAGAACTACTTGCAGAATTGAGTGATAATGATTCGTGGGGAAATTCGTCACCAGACACTGAAAACGATTTTGCGACTTTGCTCAGTGATGTGCGAACTTGGCGCTATATTTCAAATTTCAGTGTTTTTGGTTTGATTGTATTACTGAAATAAATGTATTATTATATTATTATTTTTTATGCTTATTTATTAAATTATGATTTCATGTTTCAAATTTTAACATACCCGGGATGTTTACTAGACTCTTGTTCGGACAGATTTCAGTGAGTTATTCCTAAAAATTACAGGCCTGCAATAAAAAAACAACATATTTCCATGTAAAAAATTGTACCGCTTTGAGCACAGAAATATTGACATAATCAGACCGCTAGGGAGGCTATACATGTCCAGTAACCAAATTTAAAAAATAAAATGTTTGCCATAAATTTAGGCCAAAATGTACTCTGCTACATGTCTTTGCTAAAAAAAAATCCAATACATGTAAACTAATTGGTTTACATGAAAGGTATAGCATTTACAAATGGTGGTATAGATACAGGGATTATTTTTTTTCACTAGTAATGGCAGCGCATAGCAACTAATAGTGGAACTGTGGGACTGCGGCAGGCATTCTGACACTGGGGGGAACTGACTTGGTGTCACTGACATCCCCAGTGACACCAATACAGTGATCAGTTCTAATAGAAAGAACTGACACTTTACTAATGGCACTGGGCAGGAAGGGGTTAACATGTGGGGCGATCAAGCGGTTAGCTGTTTTACTGTAAGCACACTGCTTTGCAGGGCTCTGCTATGCAAAGCCATACATAGCAGTATGCAGGAGCTGACAGGGGAGAGAAATGTATTGTTCACTTACAGTTCTCTTCCTCCATCGGTAACGCTCCTCAATCACAGGGTGCCGGCAAGTAATCACCGGCCGGGACCTGGTGATTGACAGCCAAGGCCGCAAATACCTGCATGGGTAGGGCACGCATGCATCTCACGCGCGTGCCCTACCTGGAAATGCAAAATCAAATAAATATATATATATATATATATATATATATATATATATGATTTTGCGCACCCCTGCCGCCCTGTAGCAGTATATCTGCTATAGGGAGGTGGGAAAGTGGTTCGCAAAAAATAAAAATCCCAGTGGTGATTAAATATCACCAAGAGAAAGCTCTACCTGTCTAGAAAAAATTGTAAAAATTTTATTTGGGTACAGTGTTGCATGACTACGCAATTGTCATTCAAAGTGCGACAGCACTGAAAGCTGAAAATTGGCCTGGGCAGGAAGGGGGTAAAATTGTCCAGTAGGCAAGTGGTTAAGTAAATCAACCCCAATGATTCTGTGTGTTTTCATGTTTAAGTTTTGATGCATTACTGTTGAGAGAACTGATCCAAAAAGATAGAGAGTACTCAAAACTGGCTAATATATACTTTTACATTCCTTAAAATTCTGCCTGCCTGGACCACTACTTATTTAACTTATGCATTTATTTATTTATTTCCTTTAGTGAATTGACACTGTTTTATGAGGTATGTTTTACCAAGCGTTTTTGCTTTTTGAGGTAAATACCACATAAGGGGATAGTGAACTAAACATTTTCAGCAGCACGTGATATTTGGGAAAAAGGTGCCAGAGCACCTAAATACCACGTGCGATCTGCTTTAGTGAATGGAGCCCGGTATGTAAAAAAAAAAAAAAAAAAAAAAAAAATATGCTTAAAAAAACTGAATTAAAAAAAATTTACTTTTTTTTTTTTTAAAAGTCACCAGTTAGTATCCCTGATCACCTCCATGCCAGTCATTTGATAAGACTATTCTACATTGGTGACAGCTTGTTAAAAGAAAATTGTGTAAAAAAAAAACAAAAAAAAAAAAAACATTTTATTTAATTTCTTCATTTTACAAAAAAAGTGACAAAAAAATGTAAGAAAAAATTGCCAAGCCTTTTACCCTGGACTGTCTTCTTTTCAAAAAGGGGTCATTAGGGGGGTATTTGTACTGCCCTTGCATTTTAGGGCCTCAAGAAATGAGAAATGCCATCAGTACATCAGGACTGATCAATTTTCAAATATATACAGTTAGGTCCATATACAGTTGTGCTCAAAAGTTTGCATACGCTGGCAGAAATTGTGAAATTTTGGCATTGATATTGGAAATATGATTGATCAATAAAAGATAATTTTTTGGCATGAAGGATGATGATCATATGAAGCCATTTATTATCAAATAGTTGTTTGGCTCCTTTTGAAATCATAATAATCACCCAAATGGCCATGATCAAAAGTTTACATACCCTGGAATGTTTGGCCTTGGTGACACACACAAGTCACAAGGTGACACACACTGGTTAAAATGCCAATTAGAGGTTAATGTCCCACATCTGTGGCTTTTTAAATTGCAATTAGTGTCAATGTATAAATAGTCAATGAGTTTTTGTTAGTTCTTACGTGGAAGCACTGACTAGGCTAGACACTGAGCCATGGGGATCAGAAAAAAAATGTCAAAAGTCCTGTGTAACAAGGTAATGGAACTTTATAAAGATGGAAACGGACATAAAAAGATGTCCAAAGCCTTGAATATGCCAATCAGTACTGTTAAATCACCTATTAAGAAGTGGAAAGTTCAGGGATCTCTTCATACCAAGCCAAGGTAAGGTAGACCAAGAAATATTGCAGCCACAACTGCCAGAAGAATTGGCATGCCCATGCCATCACACTGCTTCCACCATGATTTACAGATATCATTGTGTGCTTTGGATCATGAGTTGTTCCAAGCCTTCGCCACACTTTTTTCTTCCTGTCATTCTGGTACAGATTAATCTTAGTTTCATTCATCCAAAGAATGCTTTTCAGATGTTTTTTGGCAAAGTCTAATCTGGCTTTTCTATTCTTCAGGCTTATGAATGGTTTACACCTTGTGGTGAACTCTCTGTATTATTGCTCTTGTAAAGTCTTCTCTTGATTGTAGACTTTGACAATGATACTCCCACTTTCAGGAGAGTGTCCTTCACTTGTCTGGATGTTGTGAATGGGGTTTTCTTTATCATAGAGTGGATCCTGCAATCCATCACTGTTGTCTTCCGTGGATGTCCATGCCTTTTTATGTTGCTAGCTCACCAGTGCGTTCTTCTTTTCTCAGAATGTACCAAACTGTTGATTTGGCCATTCCTAATGTTGCTGCTATCTGATAGATTTGTTTCATTTTTGAAGCCTTACAGTGGCCTGTTTCACTTGCATGGACAGCTCCTTTGAACGCATGATGTAGGGTTCACAGCAATAGATTCCAAATGCAAATACCACACTTAGAATCAACTCCAGACCTTTTATCTGCTTAATTGATGAAGAAATAATGAAGTAGCACACACCTTGCCAAGAAACAGCTTTTGATTCAATTGTCCAATTACTTTTGGTCCTTTGAGAAAGGGGGGATGGCTACTCTAAGAGCAGTAATTCCTAAACCCTTCCTCCAATTTTGATGTACATTCCCTCACATTAAACCTGAGAGTGTGCACTTTCAGCCCATATCCATTATATAACTATAGCTTGAATATGTTTTGGTCAATACCTGAAAAAACTGAAATTGTGCCTGTGTCCAAATATATATGGACCTAACTGAATATATACCATAGTTTGTAGACTCTATAACTTTCAAATGGACTAAGTATTATACACTGATTTGGGTTATTTTTACCAAAGAAATGTAGGAGACTACATTTTTTCCATTTATAAAGAAAGAATATTTGTTTACAAAATTTTATGTCATGGCTGATTCTAAGAATCTCTGAATAGTCTTAAATATATTTGTCACCACAGTATCCCTCATTAACATATAATGCAGGAGGACAGAGAGTGTTCAAATCTAGTACACAGTTGTTAATAAATAATTGTGAACACAATACAGATAGAGTTAAAGGAATTGTAAAGCCTACTTTAAGATAAAGTAAAAAAAGAGGTTTATACGCACCTGCTTGTGCACTGGTATTGCATAAGGCAGTCCTGAACTTCCTCTTCTGGGGCCCCCCACTGGTGCTCTCCACTCCTCTTCTGTGCCTGCCCCATAGCAAGCTGCTTGCTATGGAGGCAGACGTATAGGCTCACTCTCGAGCCACACTGTGTGTGCCCATAAACACACATAGCAAAGCTCGGCCCTGCCCCCCCTCCTCATTGGACTTGCCTGACAGCAGCAGGAGCCACTGTGAGACTGTGTGAACTGTGAGACCACAGAGAAAGTGCAATGCTGCAGATAAGCACAACTCTGGCTCCATACAAGACTTACAAGATACAAGGTTTACAAGAAGGTAAATATTTGGAAGGGGGGGAGGGACCAGCTACTAAAAGGTTTTTTTTTTCCCTTGAAGGAGAGTACAGCTCGCTTTGCTGTACTCCTCCTGTGGATCACAGGACTGCAGCTCAGTTTGCACTCCTGTGATCCATTTTCAGCCAACATCACAGAGCCCCTAAAGCCTGAGCCAGTCACTCCCACCCCCTCCACAGCCAGTGCTCTAGTGAGCGCTGGGGAAGGGGGGGGGCAAAGCAGACAGCAGTGACTGATCGCTCAGTTCTCAGCTGCAGCGGATCGTAGGTGGAGTTTTCTTTCTGCCCTAGGAGGATGCAGAACCCATGACCTCTGTCTGGACAGTGCTGATTGGCCCTGTGCTGATCAGCCTTGTGCTGATCACATGCACTCTCCCAAGAAAAAAAAAAAACTTCTCTACCAAACTGAGCATGTGCATAGTGTCTCCACACGATATGTCTTATCAGGAGATAAGAGGGGGGCACTGGAAGAAGGGTAGGACTAAAGAAGTCAGGATCAAACAGTAATTTTACATAATGCAGAGGATTAACCCCTTAGGTTCCACAGTGAGTATAACAAACATGTTTTACTGCATATACAGACTGATTTTACTGTTGTGGGTTTAGTAACACTTTAAATCTCTTTTCCTCCCGCCGTAAAGAGTGCCCCTTGTCCTCGGTGATGACCTGAAAGTACAGTTCAATATATTACATAGACCAAAAATATGGATGTGTTTGCAATATTTACAGATGCAGATGTCCAATTTCAAATGAACTGCTGACACTGCTGAAACTGAAGTTTTGTTTAATAAAAAATTGGCTGCACAGGGTTGTAAACTACCATGCAATGCTGCCAGTAAACATGTTGAAGGTAGTGATTTCTCAGAAAATGTCAACAGAACTGTTTATCACTGTGACTATCCATAACCTCATTCTTGGAAGCTGGGAAGAGGTGGTTAATGGTGTGAGTACTGACAAGTCCTTGCCTCACCCCCCAATATCTGGCTAACAGCGTGTTGCCTTGTCTGTGAACAGCTCAGATACAGTCAGGTCCATAAATATTGGGACATCGACACAATTCTAACATTTTTGGCTCTATACACCACCACAGTGGATTTGAAATGAAATGAACAAGATGTGCTTTAACTGCAGACTGTCAGCTTTAATTTGAGGGTATTTACATCCAAATCAGGTGAATGGTGTAGGAATTACAACAGTTTGCATATGTGCCTCCCACTTGTTAAGGGACCAAAAGTAATGGGACAATTGGCTTCTCAGCTTTTCCATGGCCAGGTGTGTGTTATTCCCTCATTATCCCAATTACAATGAGCAGATAAAAGGTCCAGAGTTCATTTCAAATGTGCTATTTGCATTTGGAATCTGTTGCTGTCAACTCTCAAGATGAGATCCAAAGAGCTGTCACTATCAGTGAAGCAAGCCATCATTAGGCTGAAAAAAAAACAAAACAAACCCATCAGAGAGATAGCAAAAACATTAGGCATGACCAAAACAACTGTTTGGAACATTCTTAAAAAGAAGGAACGCACCGGTGAGCTCAGCAACACCAAAAGACCAGGAAGACCACTGTGGTGGATGACCGAAGAATTCTTTCCCTCGTGAAGAAAACACCCTTCACAACAGTTGGCCAGATCAAGAACACTCTCCAGGAGGTAGGTGTATGTGTGTCAAAGTCACCAATCAAGAGAAGACTTCACCAGAGTGAATA